CGTCTTGCGAAAGAGAAAGATATTATTGTTGACTTTTTTTGCGAATTATGAATCTTGTCGTGTAATCATCTCGGGTCATTGCCAGTGATAACAACATTTTTCACACGCACTTCGGTTCAAATCGAGAGATGAAGACAGATTTCATGAGCATCCGGAACGAGATCTAGCTAAAAATGATGAATTATACACATTCGTGATATTAGATGTAAATAGTGTGTGGTAAATTTAAATTTAAATTTTAAAATGTGAATAAAACTCTGTGAATTTGAATGAACGTTGAGAAACGTTGTTGTAGATAACACGTGACTTGACGATGTTCTAAAATCTTTGTCTATCTTTTTCCAGGGCATGAAAAATGCATGTTTCATCACGATTTGGAGCTAGACCACAGGCCACCCACACGCGAAGCTCTACTCCCGGAAATGTCACGAAGTTACAGACTACTTTTGAGCTCACTTGGCGAGGATCCCGATCGACCGGGTCTTTTAAAAACTCCGGAACGTGCTGCGAAAGCCATGCTGTTTTTCACGAAGGGTTACGATCAATCCATCGATGGTAAGTCGTCTTATATTTTTATTTATAACAAATGTATAAAAAGGGATAAACTGGACAAGGATACATAAATACCTAAGAATAAAAACACACCAGACGATTCGAGATTAAAAGATTAAGAGTTAATCGTAAAAGATTGAATCCTCTGTCTAATCAAAAATAATACGGGCATTTAATTATGAATCTCTCAAGGGACAAGGTCGATAGAACACAGATAAAACAGATGAATATGCCCACTCGAGAAAAGTGCCGTCCATTTCTTTCTTTCATCCTTCAAGTTACTTGAGATCTGTCGCAGGGGAAAAGAGAAAAAGATTTAAGTACGATTCGAAAAAAAGAAAAAAAGAGAGCGTAAAGCTCATGATAAATGGGGCTCAGGGACGCACAGCGACTCGAGAAGAATTATACCTTTTCCTTCCATTTGTCGTATTCCGCCGAGTGGAAAATTTACTGTTAATTGTGATTCCACGGGCGGCTAAATGAAATAGAATTATCACATAGCTATGCTATGTTTCAATTCATCTAAATCTCTAAACCTTTATTTCCTCTATCTAAACTATTAGGCTCGATTTATAAAAATTTATGTTCTAATCTTAATCAACGAATAATTTCTCAATCACAATCTATCGAATCGATTTAACTGATTTAATACGCCTGATAGTTTACTGCCTTGCTTGTATTAAATGGTTCCGGGTAAAAAGCCGGATCTTGTACGACTTTGATGTAAGTGGAACAGTAGCTACAGGTGGTGGTGAGACTTTAATTCACTTGGACTTAATCCTCCATCCACCTTAGAGTGGAACTACCCTCGAAATAAGCCCGGTTAACGGCACTTCTATTCTCCCCAATGAATCTGAAACGAGTAAGTCCGGAGCACTTTCGTACGAAAGCTCGACTCATACTCTCTCTCTCTCTCTCTCTCTCTCTCTCTCTCTCTCTCTTTTCTACTCACCCTCCACTACCCCTACGCAATTGTTCTCCTCTGACAAGTTCTCTTTGCCTTTCATCCTTACCGATAAGCTTTCTGCCCCAAATACCTGCTGGGAATGTATCTAAATGTAATATTTGTTCTGTAAAATCATCAGTCCTCTGTCTTTTCTTTAATGAAGATTTCAGAGATCATTACAGAGACATTAGAGGATTCGAGAATCGGGGGCAGAAATCGGCTCGAGCTTATGGCCATTAAAATCCTATTATAGTATTAACACTCGGTTTAACATTCGTTAATTATCGTTGTAGTTAATATTACAGATTGACATACTGTGCAAACCTATCGCATATAGCTCATATCGTTCTATAGATGTGATGTCAAAATCGATATAGACCGCGGTCTAGCTTTCCGTGCCATATGTTCGCTATTGCACTTTCTCTTTTTCTTCCCTTCCATGCCGATCCTACTATTTCCGCGGATGAAGATTACTATAATAATAAAGGACATGTAGCATGATTGTTGGATTAACGAGTTCAGTTAGTAATCCGTAATATTCTTACTTTTAGTCGAATAGCTCGAAGGATCCTGATCGTGTTAGATCGCCGAGTCGAAAAATTAAACTGTACGCCTTTCAGCGGCTGCTTCAAAGGTAATACATATAGAGGAGAGGAAATTGCACGAGTCTAGTCTATCGTCGAGAGATGTAGGTGCGCGGGTAAAAGCACACACGTTGAAATAAATTTCCACGCGTCAAAGCGTTTAGAATTTATTTCCACCATTTTTTTCGTCGCGCTCAAAAAGGTTTCCGAGGTTCCGGAGGATCATTCATTCACATCTTGGCAGCAGCGTCTTGTTACACATGGAAAAAATACACTTGGTTAACCGGGACGTGAATTCGTTTCATCATTGCCGGTCATTGTGAAGGTGTTTCTTGTTAAGGTTGCCGTGGAAACCGTGGAGAGCACCCTCCATTACCTACCCACTGACACCTAGCAACCACCGATTCATATCTACACACCACCACCAGCGTGGACGATGTAGTAAGTAGGTCAATATCGAGTAAATCACAGCTAGGATCGTGAGGACCTTAACCCACGTGCAAGATGTACCTTTCGTAGAACAATTTAAACGAGGAACATTTTCCCATCTTTGGGAACAACAAGGTTGGTCGTTTTTGCTCGAACACGAAGCCGCTGAAATTGTGCAACGATCGCGCGATCTCGATAAACGAGAACTGCCTCTGGAAATATCTGTGCAAGATTTTTCCAGCAATATCTTTGCAATTCTTGCTTCCTTATATATATATATAT